ATCCAGACTCAAAGAGAATCTGGAAAGAAAGATACAATTCTTTGAAAGAAGTGTGATGTATGAGCACAACACTTCTTTCAAGGAATTGTATTTTTCTTTCCAGATTGCCTTTGAGTCTGGATAGGATATGAACATATTAAAGACAACAACAACAACAACAATAATAAAAAGTTGGAAAGGATCTTGGAGGTCATCGAGTCCAACCCCCTGCTCAGGCAGGAAACCCTACATCATTTCGTACCTGGAGGCAGGTTGTTGCACTGGTTAATTGTTCTAACTGTCAGGAAGTTTCTCCTTAGTTCTAGGTTGCTTCTCTCCTTGATTAGTTTCCACCCGTTGCTTCTTGTCCTGCCTTCAGGCGCTTTGGAGAATAGGTTGACTCCCTCTTCTTTGTGGCAGCCCCGTTATTTGTATCTTTTCTGAATAATTTCCAAAGCATGCCATTATTCCACATCTTTCTGTCTGGAAGGCATATAATAGGTTGTTGCTATGAGCGGTCAATAAAGGTCAAGATGGGCACCACAAGCATGCAACTGAAGCCCCACCCTTTTTTAACCTATGTAAAAAAGGGTGGGTCTTTAATTGTATGGTTGTAGTGACAATCCTGACTATTTTTGACCTCCTATAAAGATCCCTAGTTGCCACTTTCTATATAAAATTCTTTCAAACTTTTGAAAAAAATCTCCCTCCTCATTCTGCTTCTCTTAGGAGTAAATGTTCCCTGCTTCTCTCCTTGCATCAGCCTGGCGAGGGAGTCCAGACAGGAAGCATAACCAGATTGAGCAATGCTACTTTATTGTAAGGTTACATTAACAGAATCTTGCAAGTCTGAAAGTACATTTCTCCTCCATTGTCTTTACATTGCAGGAAACAAAGAAGGGTATGCACCTAAGTTGCCTCTAATCCAATGATCCCCAACCCCCAGGCCATGGTCGACTACTGGGCCATAGCCTATTCAGTGCAAGCAGCGGGCCAACACACATGCATGCATATGCAGCTCAACTTGCACAAGTTGAGCTGCACACACATGCGCGTGCACGCTGGCCCTCCACTTGTGCAAGTCAAGCTGAGTGCATGTGACTGTGCGCACCGACCCACCGCTGGTGTGACTTGTTTCCCCTCTCCCCCCATAGCAGGGCCACCAAGAGACAAAGGTTGGGGACCACTGCTCTAGTCCAACTGTCCTCCTGGCGATGGCTCTTTCCTGTCTCCCAAGGTCTTCCCAAAATACCAGAATGCCTTATGATACTGAATTGTCCTGTTGCTTCTTTATTTTCTTTACCTTTATCTAAACCTAATTTCAGTTTCTTGAAACCTTTCTTGAACAGTTTGATAGACTACAGGTAGCCCTCCTTTAAGCAAGCACAACTAAGACTAGCAATTTGGTCATTACATGAAACGTTACTAAGCGAAACCAGGACTGTGCTTATGATCTTACTTCTGCTTTCATTTGCATTACAGGCATGTGGCTGTCATAAATGTGAGGACTGGAAATACTTTTTCCATCACTGCAAACAGTTCTTGTGCAAGGCAGTTAAGTGAGGACTAGCAGGTTGACCTTTTCTAGGTTAAATCTAAATGAATCTTGTTGGAAAGAAAGGCTTCACATTTTTTTCCCCTCCCCGGTTTTGTATGCAGAGATAATTTCTGTACGGAGATAATAAAAGAGCACTCAATCAGGTGAGTTCTCATCTGAAGTGGTTCAGGCTAGATAACAGGTTTGCCACTTCTGAGGAGAATCTTTCCTTAAAGTTCCATCAGAGAAGGCGTTGCAGAAACCATCCTCCAGGCGCCATCTAGTGGTCAAAAAAGAAAGAGGATTGTCGAAAAAAAATATTACTGGAATACGAAGAAATACACACTAAGGAAGAAGATAGGAAACAGGGGAGGGGGAGCCCTTCCCAGGCAGCATCCCCAGAGTGACGCTCGCTTTAGAAAGCTCGTTCAAGTGGATTAAAACAAGACTGGTCAACAGGCATTGAGTCTCTGGGGCGAAAGGGCGGGGCGGGTTGCAAACGGCATAGATATTCGCGTCCAGAGGCAAATGGGTATTTTCAACTAGACGAAGAGGGGAAAAAATCGCAAAGTTTGAAAAACTGTGTTTTTGAACAATATGTTGATCGTCACCTTAGGGGAGACGAGGGGTGTCATTTAGAAAAGGCTCTATAAATTCTTCATTAATCCCCACCAGAAAGGGGAAGTATCCCAGAGCCCAAGGTCGGTCTGTGTTGACGCGCACTCTCCTGTTTGTGTGTGTGTGTGTGTGCGTATTGTCTGTGCGTGCGTGCGTGCGTGTGTGTATGTGTGTGTGAAGAGACAGAGAGAGATGGCTTTGAGAGTGGGGCAAAGAGCTACACGCGCGCGCGCGCTCACACGCCCGCAGCCCCTTTGCCTTGACGACCAAATCGGAGTAGGCGCCGTTTTGTAATTTTCTTTGTTTCTCTCCGGATCGAAGCCCCCTATTTCCTTCCCGCCACGACACAATCCGCTTTCTCCCTCTACTGACATTTTCAGGAAAAAGAAAAGCGGAGCAGCTGCCCGGGGAGGCATCACCCGCAGCAGCAGGGTGGGTTGCTCGCCTCCTCCGTGGGCTGCTGCCCGCTCTCAACCCCCGCAGCAGGAGCCTCGGCGGCAGGGAAGCCCTTGGCTCCGCTCTTCAAGGCATGCCGGGCACCCGTTGGAGCTGGGAGGAAGCTTGGCCCCGGCAGCCCAGCCCTCCGCCATCCGATCCCGGCAGCTCTCCTGCCTGACGAGAACCGCCGCCGCCGCCGCCGAGCTCTTTCCCGAGGCGGGGGGGGAGGAAGAAGAGGAGGAGGAGGAGGAGGAGGGAAGCGGCTGCATTGAGTTGCCACCAGACGGAATTGCGTCGCTCGCTGACCCCCCCCACCCGGCCGCCCGCCTCCCACGTCTGCCGCTGAACTTGTTGCCGAGGGGAGAGCAAGGGGGGCTGGCCAGGAGCCGCCTCAGCGCCTCCGCACGAGCGCCGCGGGAACCTCGGTCACTTTCAGGTCCCCTCCATGCCCAGCGAGCGCTCCGGCCGGACTTCGCCCTCAGGTAAGGCGAAGGGAGGGAAAGACGGCCGAGGGGGCTAGGCGCGTGGGCAGGTGGCCGGAGGTCCCCCCCTCGAGGCGGAGGCCTCTTGGACCCCCCCTTCCAAATGTTCGCCCCCTCCCCTCCCCTCCCTTTTTTTTCGGCTTATTCCGTCTCCACCGCCAGAGCTTTGGGCGCGCTGCCTCCAGCGGGGCAGCATCAAGTGGCGGGGAGAGTTTGAGAGGGCGCCGGAGCAGCTGGACAGAGGGGCGTCATTTGGGAGGGGGGGGCAGGAGCCAGTTCGATGTGTAAGAAGGGGAGGGGAAAGCTAAAGTGAAATGGCTCTCTTGATCCCTATCCTGGAATCTCCATCCCGCTCCCAAATCAGTCCTTTGTCCTAGCCGAGATTTCTGAACTAAATTCTTGCCTAGACCTTTTGAAGACCAAAATAATCTCCTTACTGGAAGTGCTCATTGTTTTATTTTGGACTGCATAAAGAGCGTTACTGCTTTCACACGTGCACGTGCATACCTGTGAAAGCAGTGGTGTTTGTGTGGTATACTCAGGCTCCATATCCTTAAGCTTTGTTCTCTAACACACAGACTTAGTCCCAATCTCCACCTATAGAATTCCAATATCTCTTTGGCCAGCAATGTTTAGGCTAAGGACTGTAACCCTCCTTTTCACCATCCCAGCTGCAAACATTGCACCTAAGGTCACATTTATTCCTAAATCAAATGCATTTGAACATTCCAACCCCAAAGTTTCTATTTTAGGATTCTTCTTATCTCCTCAAGACCAAGTCTCAAAATGTTTACTCCTCTATTAACCAACCACTTTGGCCATTCTCTCCTCCATCCTAAACCTCCCTTCCAGCTCCTTCTGAATTTTCATTCAGGATGAAGACCCTGACTTTTCCCTTGGTTATAGCTAATCCCCTTCATTAGGAACCTCCCTCCCAGAATTGTTCTTTTCATCCCTCCCTTTTTTTGCACGTTTCCCACAAGTGGTTGTTCTGTCCAGTTCAACTGGAAATTTGGATTTCCCCTCCCCCATCTTCCTGTTCAACCTTAATTTCTGCTTTTAAAAATTAATTTTCTTTAAGGAGACTTACAGGATTCTTTGTGAGCTAAGCTGTTTTTCAGCTTCTCTTTTCTTTATTCAATAAAAGCTTCCCTGTATCAAGTTGGAGTCTGCTAGTTCTCTGTCCCTCTGCCTTGCTTCTTTAGTACAAGAGCCTGGAAAATAGGAGTGTGTGGTATGACGTGATGATCATTGGGATAAAGGGAATCAACTGTGAATTGGAAAAGTGACATCTTCACACCTTCTGCTAAAATCCTATGATTTGCAAAGAGATGTAAGTAGACATCCTAGCAGGTGTTCTTTCTGTGGCACTAGCCTAAGTATTCAAGAAAGAAAGAAATCGATTTTTTCTTCTCTCTCAGTTCCCAAACAACTATTTGCAGCTGATGGTTGTAGTAGACAGGTGTCGTAGTTTTTCCCAGGAATCAGGAAAGAACAAATTATTGCTGAGCTAGGAGTTGTCTCTTGGTCTGATAAAATTGCTGACTGATTACCACTCCCTGGATCTGACAGGCTAGCTGATCTGCTCTTGCAGACAGTATATTTTTGCTGCATTTTTGTGCATGTTGATCTTTCCTGACTTCGGTTTATTGAGAAGGGAAGTGTTTGTGTTGATCAAAAACATAGAACAGCTTCTCATGCTCCACAGTTGGCTACCAGCTTAAAGTAAATATTTCAAATAGAGTTAAACAATGGGAGAGCCTCAGTTATTTGGGAAGGGTTAGAAGGGAAAGAAGATGAAAAAAATAGGGTAGATTTTCCTGTCATACATAAAGTGTGGGCTCCTAATCTCTTGCTACATTCTGTGTTCCCACCTTCCCCTTCATTTTAGAAGACTGGATTATTTCTAAAGAGACCACCCAGCAATACCACCAGCAGCTTCCATAATGGCAGCAGGAGTAGCAGCATGGCTGCCTTTTGCCCGAGCAGCAGCAATAGGATGGATGCCAGTGGCCTCCAACCCTATGCCAAACGCACCTCGGCAGGAGAGGAAACGTAGTCAGGATTCTCTGATTGTGCTGAATGTGAGTGGCACCCAGTTCCAGACCTGGTTGAACACCCTTGAACGCTATCCTGACACCCTTCTGGGCAGCTCAGAGAGGGATTTCTTCTACCATCCAGAGACACAGCAATACTTTTTTGACCGGGATCCTGATATCTTCCGACACATCCTCAATTTCTATAGAACAGGGAAGCTACACTATCCCCGTCAGGAGTGCATCTCAGCCTATGATGAGGAGCTGGCCTTCTTTGGTATTATCCCTGAAATCATTGGCGATTGCTGCTATGAGGAGTACAAGGATCGACGACGGGAAAATGCTGAACGCCTTCAGGATGATGCTGATCAGGATAATGCCAATGAGTGTCATCTTCCTTCCATGACAGCTCGAGAGAGGATGTGGCGGGCCTTTGAGAGTCCACACACCAGCACACTGGCCCTGGTTTTTTATTATGTTACTGGCTTTTTCATTGCTGTTTCTGTCATTGCCAACGTGGTGGAGACTGTGCCCTGTGGGATAACTCCTGGTGCCATCAAGGAGCTATCCTGTGGAGAGCGCTATGATGTGGCTTTCTTCTGCCTAGACACAGCCTGTGTCATGATCTTCACTGTTGAGTATCTCTTGCGCCTGGTGGCTGCTCCCAGCAGGTACAAGTTTGTCCGTAGCGTCATGAGCATCATTGATGTTGTGGCAATTATGCCATATTACATTGGCCTGGTGATGACCAACAATGAGGATGTCAGTGGAGCTTTTGTAACCCTGCGTGTCTTCCGGGTCTTCCGGATCTTTAAATTTTCACGCCACTCACAGGGTCTGCGCATCCTGGGCTACACTCTGAAAAGCTGTGCATCAGAGCTTGGCTTTCTCCTTTTTTCTCTCACTATGGCCATCATAATCTTTGCTACAGTTATGTTCTATGCTGAAAAAGGTTCATCTGCCACCAAGTTCACCAGTATTCCTGCTTCTTTCTGGTATACCATTGTTACTATGACCACCTTGGGGTAAGTGCATATGGTTTTATCTCTATCTAGGCAAAATATAGATAATTTGCATTGTTATTCTGGATTATCTTTACTTGGTTTTTTTTTAAAAATGTGAAAAAAGATGATGCATAATTGTGCTCAATGAAAAAAATGCTTATGATCTGTTTATGATAGGCAGAAGATGCCACTTCACTTTCTCTCATGTAAATATAAAATATTGAGAACTACAATTATGAGTTCCCTTAAATTCTAGGATTGCTGTAGATTTTGTATTTTTTTTCTTTCATATATTCAGATATCATTGTTAAAGTTTCTATGCAGGTTTACCCCCCTACTTTTTCTTCATGATTAATGTAATGATAGTTGAGTTTTAGGCAAAAGATAAGGATTCTATTGTCGTATTATCCTTGATTCATATGATAAGGAATTTTATAATAGTTTATCTATTCATAGCAAAAATGTAATTAATCTTTCACGTAAAAGGATTATACTCAAATAATATAAAAACTAACACAATGCAACTCAATTTGCTTTTTAAATATATGTTAAAGTTGTCAATATAGCTGTTTTTGAAGTGTTGCAGCAAACATTTAAAACTCATGTTTAGTTTTTCATTCTGGAAGCTAATTTTGGAAATGGTGATGAATTCACCATCAAGGAATTTCATAGGTTATTTCATGATGTTTTGCAATATAGCATTTTATAAAAATGTATTTTCTGAAGAAGGAACGTGATGTAAACTAAGTTTTTAAAAAAGTTTTAATGGGAAATTGTTCAGCCTATGCTTATCCTCAAAATGACTGATATCCCAAAATGCATCTTACAGTATTGTCTGGATATGACTTATAGAGGTAAGTTAATTTGTAATTTTATTCCAAATTAGTTATACAATAATTTATTGGGAAAGGATTAATTTCTTTTTTTTAAATGCCCATGTTGTATTACAAGTCTTGCAAATTTATCTGTCATAAATTCTACAATACCTTTCCCCATCTCATTACCCTTCAACGTTTTAAACTGCCCAAATCCCTATTCCTCATCATAGGGCATGGAGGTTAAGGAAGAAAAGGAAAAGATTTAAGTTGGAAACATCTTGTTATCAACTCTTATATCTTATCTCAAGAACATTTATTTGCTCTTAAATAAAGGAACTGATTATAGATGTAAAATTTGACAAACAAATATTGAACACCAAAATAAACAAACAAAAAATATTGACCACTGAAAATATATATTCTTTCTGGACCAAGTTTAACATTTCACTAAGGACAGTGAAATACATTTATATGAATGACAAGTCTTTCTATCTTTCTGGTGTGTTTCTATAAACATCAGTGACATTTCAGAAATAGGACAGAATGCAAGAATTAATCCCCATTGTGTTCTGTAAAACTTTAAGCATGTAATTTAAGCACTATCACTGAGATCAATGGTAGCAGAAAATACTTAACTCTGCCTTGGGGATGGATATAAATAAGATTGCAATTGTGATTATAATTATAGAATTATCTGTTTGAAATGAATCAATCTTTAATAAAGCTACTATGGGCTACTCTACAACTATAATTAACACTTTAATAAAGAAAAAAATGCATTGCTATGTTTGTGTGTGTTGGGAAGAGGGAAAGAAAAAGTACATTTTCAGGCTTTTTTCTATTCAGTTTATTTTCCTGAAACTGTTCCCTTCAGTCACTTGTTTGCTGGTCAAGTAGACTTCTGGAGTTTCACAAAGAGAAAAAAAAATATTATGACAGACCATAATTTTATGAGTTAAATATTTTTTTTAAAAAAATTAAAACCTTTATTAGACTGGGTCAGATAAAGGAAATACATAAAATATATTGGACTGAAATGTGAAGTGACAGAGATCAGATTGTATCTGTAATGTCTAGTTGGAAATCAGAGACATTTAGGTTGTGATTTAGTTAAATGTTAAAGGTAGCGATAAAATAAAAAAATGTCAAAATGTAATAGTGTGGGTCTACTATTTATCATAGAATGTAAAAAAGATAGGCCTAATCACCAGCATTTTTAATCTTTCATTCATAGTTCTAATGTTTTATACTGCAGCAAGATGCATTTAAGTTACAGTAAATGTCAGATGTACTGGCTATTGGTCTTGTCCATGGTACTGAAATGAATATTTGGTTTTTATTTCTTTGCCTTGAATTGTTTTATTTTCTACAAGCTGAAAATAGTTTTTCACATTGTTAGTAGTGTATGGACTAAGTTATTAAACTTTTTGTGAAGTACATGTTTGAGAGGAAGATATTTTAAATAAGAATATAAACTTTGCTTTTAGTCCTTAGGAAGGCAACCTATGTTGTATTTTTTGACAATATTCTTACTTACATTCTGCAGGATATCTTAAAACTTATTTATTACTCTTATAAAATAACATTTTGTACATTTAAAAATAAATAGGATAATTGCTTATAATACACACACACACAAACACACACACACAAATACACACATATATTTAAGGTATTATCAAAGGATCATTACACTGTAATAAATACTTTTCAATAATCACTTTATCTCACAAATCATAAAATTAACTAAATAAATATAAAATAAACAGTTTGTTTACATCAGTTCTTTTTCCAGTCTAAATCAGTNATAACATTGGTAATGTGTGTTATATTCCTTAATCATACATTAAGCAAAATTTACTTATACTGGTTTAAAACTTTAAAAAAGACTTCTAATATTATTCTGTTCTGTTTAATAAAGAATAAAATTAAGTAAACATCCTGTGTTTAGTAACTAATCAGGAAATACTTTACAGTCTTACAGAATTACTTGCAGCTTGATGGCATGTTAAATATATTTTATGTACATTGCAGAGAACAACTAAAATTGTTATTAATCACACTCTTATAGTAAAGTCACTGAACAACAATCTTACTCATTAAATGTAATAAACATAGGAGAAAAGATATTTCTCAATATTGCATAATGCTGTGAAATTAAAAAGTTTTCATAAAATACAAACTTTAGAGAAACGATTTGTTTTATAGAGAAACTACTTACAAGGAAAATAGTTCTTTAAGCTATAACTGTAAAGAAAAATAATAGGCATCCTTTTAGACTTCCATAGAAATAAAATGAAACAAATTTATGTATCAACAATCTCAACCTCGGGATGTCTATTTCCACCGTTACTAAAATTCACTACTTTTATAAATACACATTTGGAATGCTAATTTGTTCAATAAATGCAGCAGTGATATTTTGGTAAAACAAGATTAAAAAAGGATAAAATAAGAGTGCATATTTTTATTTGGTATATTATTTTATATGTTATTTATTTCTATTCATTTTTTCACTAAAAGCAGATAGATAGATAAAGTTGTATTGTGTTTCATGTTTCCCATGTTGCAAATGATCCATCATGAAACATACAAGTTTAGTTATAAGAATCATTGTCTTATCCACTATACAGGTAGTCCTCTATTACAATCATTTGTTTAGTGACTGTTCAAAATTACAGACACTGAAAAAAGTGACTTATGACCATAATTCACACTTACAACTGTTGCAGCATCCCCAGGGTCACATGATCAGAATTTGAATGCTTGGCAACTAGTTCATATTTATGAGGGTTGCAATGTCCTGGGATCATGTGATCATTCTTTGTGACCTTCTGACAAGCAAAGTCAATGGAGGAAGCCAGATTCACTTAACAATCTTGTTACTAATTTAACAATTGCAGTGATTCACTGAACTGTGGTAAAAAAAAAAGTTCATAAAATGAGGCAAAACTCACTTAACAACTGTTTTGCCTAGCAACAGAAATTTTGGGCTCAGTTGTGGTCATAAATCGAGAACTACCTCTACTGTAGCTGCAGAGCTTTGCATGGTAAAGAATCTATTAAGAAGAAGGATACTGATTTATAAAAGCAGGAAATAGAATGAATTAGCACATTGATCTCATCCACACTCTTCTGGTTGTAATTAATAAAAACTGTAAAAAATGCACGTTAGTATTATTATTTTTTAAATATCCAACCAAACTTTGATGAAACATTTATTACAAACTTTTTGGGCCTTCCTGTAAATTAAAGGAATATATTGTATCATAACCAAAGATATGTGGTTTACACTGTAACTCCATGTGCAGTTTCCCCTTAGTGATTTACTCTGGTTCTTTTCGTCCGTTTCGTCTAGTATTTTACCATGATGGAATTTAAGCTTTCATGCAGAAATATATTCTATCATGGACTAAGTGGTGATGTTAAGCATTGAACCAAGTCATTTCATATTTTACTAGAAACTGTTTATTTCTTTAAAATGTACAGTTCTGTTTTTGGATCTAGATAGTTTCAAAATATTGATGCATAATAAAAAAATATTAAAATCCATCTAAGCTACACAAAGAACTCTAAAATCCCTAGTAGAAGTATTTAAGCACATATTATATCCCCAAAGTAGAATTAGCTTGGATGTTACTTTGTGCCTGGTGGGGTCTGCAGAGGAGTTGGTGGGTCAATTTGAGGCCAAAATTGTAAGGCTTTATTCATCATAGTAAAACACTTTGAAGAGGGTCCAAAAAATAGCTGGTAACCACTACAGCTATTTTAGGGAAGAGGTGGCACCTCTGGAAGCACCAATTATCACCTGCACCTTGCTTTCTGAATTGCCTTCATGACTCTGCAGGGGAAAAATGCACTGAAGCAATTTAGCTTTGAAGTCCATCACGTATGCATCATGAAGTCTTTCTCTTTCAGGAATGAGTTTACTTGATTTAGTAGCTGAAGTTAATAAGAGGTCCTTTTTGTCACTGCTGTAATGTGATTTTTTCACTGTCAGTACCAGATTGAAGTAAAGCTTCTACCTTTGAACCTGTATCTTAAAAACTGCAATTTGATCAAGATAAGACAGCTATCCTAAAGTTTGAAATCTTTGGCCTAGAATCACATTGCATGAGGAGCAGCTTCTATTTCCTCTTAACTACACCAACAATATTAACGAATAGACAGTGTTCTGTTCGCTTATATTAATGCCTACACTGTGATAATCTACAGAAAGAACCTAGTT